ATTTAGAGACATATATAAAGTAATTTAGAGACATTTCATAATATATAAAGTAATTTAGAGACATATATAAAGTAATTTAGAGACATTTCATAATATATAAAGTAATTTAGAGACATATATAAAGTAATTTAGAGACATTTCATAATATATAAAGTAATTTAGAGACATATATAAAGTAATTTAGAGACATTTCATAATATATAAAGCAATTTAGAGACGTTATAATATATAAAGCAATTTAGAGACGTCATAATAGATAAAGCAATTTAGAGACATGTCATAATAGATAAAGCAATTTAGAAACATGTCATAATATATAAAGCAATTTAGATACATGTCATAATATATAAAGCAATTTACATACATGTCATAATATATAAAACAATTTAGAGACATGTCATAATATATGAGATAATTTAGAGACATGTCATAATAGATAAAGTAATTTAGAGACATGTCCTAATATATAAAGCAATTTAAGGACATGTCATAATATATAAAACTATTGAGAGACATTTCATAATGGATAAAGGAATTTAGAAACATGTCATAATAGATAAAGCAATTTAGAGACAAATCATAATATATAAAGCAATTTAGAGGCATGTCATAATACATAAAGCTATTTAGAGACATGTCATAATATATAAAGCAATTGAGACATGTCATAATATATAAAATATATTTAGAGACATGTCATAATGGATAAAGCAATTTAGAAACATGGCATAATAGATAAAGCAATTTAGAGACAAGTCATAATATATAGAGCAATTTAGAGACATGCCCTAATATATAAAGCAATTTAGAGACATGTCATCATAGATAAAGAAATTTAGAGACATGTCATAATACATAAAGCAATTTAGAGATATGTCATAATATATAAAGCAATTCAGACATGTCATGATATATAAAATATATTTAGAGTTATGTCATAATGGATAAAGCAATTTAGAGACATGTCATAATATATAATAAATTTAGAGACATGTCATAATGGATAAAGCAATTTAGAGACATGTCATAATATATAAAGCAATTTAGAGACATGTCATAATATATAAAGTAATTTAGAGACATGTCATAATGCATTTTAGAGATATGTCATAATATATGAATAACTTAAAAACATATCATAATATAGAAAGCAATTTAGGACATGTCATAATAAATAAAACATATCTTGAATAAATCAACAATGTTTGGCGGCAATTTTTCACAACACCTTTAGATTTATCTTGGTAAAATGTTAATAATTTCACACACTGTACATTTTGGACAAAAAATAATAAATTTTATTTATAGGGGTTTTGTCGCGACTTAACATGAACAAAACAAATTCGCAGATTTGAAAAAAAAATGAAAGGACTCTAGAATGTCGTCTGAATTCGCAAAAATTGTCATTTTTTAATAGTCGGTTGTACTTAGTTTAGTTTTTAATGTATATACATGTAGGTAAAATAAAGCAAATGTTGATAAGATAGCGAAGGGTCACAAAGAACCGCCCCGGACCGCCAATCAGCCTTGGGTCCAGCCCCCCGGTCTGGGGTTTTGGGATTAGTATGCTCTGGACCTTATTTCGATATTACCATTTTATGGTAATTTTATTTTTGTTACCCCGACGTTTTTTTAAATAATTTTTTTCATATTGCAATTAATTCGTTTTTGCATCTAAATTATAATGCACTTATATTCAAACCCAAGAATAAGAGAAAAACGGCAAAGTCAAATTATGTGAAACGAACTTAATATCAATTGCCTGCGAGTAAGCGCGTTGATAAATCCTCTTCGGAGGGGGTGCATTACAAGTAGACAGATATTTGTTCGCAATAAGCAAGTGTATATATTTCAAGTATTGATTTTAGCTCGTCAGAATACATGCTCTTGAAAAAGCGATAGAGAAGCGAAGGGCCTACGATGTTTCGACTGTGGGAAAAAAGTTGTAGGGAAATGAATTATTAACACCCCCCCAACCACCACTTGCAAGCATTTCTATGATATATGTTCTTTCGTGCTACATTCCTTAGTCAGGGGTCCTTAGTCTTTTGCTAACTCTGTGTCAAAATCATTCAGTGTGCCAAGAGCATACATATTTTTATACAAGTCAAGGTCAATATACCTGTTCTAGAATATATTTTATATAGTAATATATAGTACATATACTTTAGTATATATTAAAATTGAAACAGCTAAATATCTTTTTTGCATTGTAGTAGTTATTGGTTTCGACTTCGTGATGTCATTTGTGGCTGAGTGCCATTGGAAATTGCTTGACGTGCTACGTGTGGGACACAGGCCGTAGGTTGTCGACCCCTGCCCTAAGCCTTAAGCCTTGAAGTGGGTTGGAACTAACGAAATAAATATTTCGATTCCCCCTTGTTACGAAAATGTTGGGCTGGTGGCGAGAAATAAAAAAAAAATTAAATGTCTCTTTCTAATTCAGTGATTTGTCTTTCCATTTTCCTTACTTTCCTTAGACACCCTTCACAAAAAATGAAAACCCTATCCCCTAAGCCAGGGGTCGGTAACCTTTTGCTAACTCTGTGCCGACTTAGGGTTTTACAATCATTCAGTTTGCCAATAACATACGTATTTTTATGCAAGTCAAGATCAATATACCTGTTCTACAATATATTTTATATAGTAATATATAGTATATATACTTTAGTATATATTAAAATATACCTGTTCTACAATATATTTTATATAGTAATATATAGTATATATACTTTAGTATATATTAAAATATACCTGTTCTACAATATATTTTATATAGTAATATATAGTATATATACTTTAGTATATATTAAAATTGAAACAGCTAAATATCTTCTTTGCATTGTAGTAATTATTAGTTTGGACTTTGTGATGTTATTTACGGCTGCGTGCCATTGGAAATTGCTTAGCGTGCCACGTGTGGCACGCGTGCCGTAGGTTGCCGACCCATGCCTTAGTCCATCCGACCCTGATCATTACAACATTCTAGTGTAAATTCTCCCTCATTCTCTTTGTATTCCATTAGTAAGGAGTGAGTTCCACTTGGACTGTTTCTTCCTAAGAACTGCTGATTCAAGCCTTGGGTTTCGTGTATAAAATCACGAACTTAACTCCCTGCCCTTTTTTATGGTTATTCAACACCGCACAGTAAGCGTCTACCTTGAGTGACTCTTTGGTCTTGTATTGGATGAACATCTTTAAATATGCACCATTGTTGCGTTTCTCAAGCACCCAAACGCATTGCTGGTTTACATAATTGCCATTTTTCAAATAAACTCTGTTCATATCTATCTATTTCTGCTCGCATCTATCTTAGTCTTTTCATATCTATCTCTGTTCATCGCTCTTTCTCTTTCTCTTTCTCTTTCTCTCTCTCTCTCTCCCCACGAGCACACACGCACGCGAACATGCACGCACACGGACACAACAAAAGAGAAAGGAAAGATTAACCTATGAAAAGTGTATAAATTATTTTTTAGCTCAATACAACAGTGATGACAAACGAGAAAATAAACAGTCAATTGCTAGTATTTCCTGACGAGTGGACTAAGTGATTGCTGGAGAGTTTGTCCACGAAATCCTAGAGTCAAGATGCTGAAAATAAAATCAATCTGGTAAGTGACAAATTTAAATTCGTATTAATTGTATTAATCTATCTATCTATCTATCTATCTATCTATCTATCTATCTATCTATCTATCTCTCTCTCTCTCTCTCTCTCTCTATATATATATATATATATATATATATATATATATATTAGTAGTAATAATCTTATAAGTATAAGAAATTATACTCGTTCGGAAAACCTTCAGTGTTTTGATTTGCAAATAATCAAACCAATACCAAAGGGAAAAAAGGTATAAAAAAGAAATAATCAAGAACATGTCTGTTAGTCGAAAATGATCGTCCAGCATACGAATTCAAGGCCCAAAGAAAAAAAAAAACCGATGCAAGTAAGCAAAATAACTAAATAAAGTGCTCAATACAGTAAGTAGAGCAGACCTAGTTAAACCTAGAGAGCCATACAAACCTACCAAGGTTTCACCTAAGCGGATCGTCAGGAAGCCAGCTTTCCCTGACAATCCGCTTAGGTGAACCTTGGTAGGTTTGTCTGGCTCTCTAGGTTTAACTATATATATATATATATATATATATATATATATTCTTAATATTTCTAAATAAGATATATATTTTCTAAATAGTAATCGATTTTTTAAAAATTTTATTAACCGGACAGATTTTATTAATTAAACGTAAATCTTTATTGGATACCCATATTTGAGTAGACCCCCCGTTCATTTGTTAAACATATTTATTTATTTTCGTCTACTGGCTTGAATATTCGAAAAATCTTATTGAAGAAAAATAAGTGTTCCCCGACAGGATTCGAACATGCACCCCCACCCTTGGCACAGGAAACCGTCAGGTAGGACTTGTTTTTAGACCGTCTTCGACACAGTCGACCACCAAGCAAAGTTAAGACCGTGAGAGAAATAAAAATACTATTCAGGAGAGAGAACAATAAAAGAATAAGAATTAAGAAGACGATGACTATTGGCATTGCATTTAAATTTGTGGAGACCAAAGTTAACTGGGGACAAGATGCCGTAAGAGAGTTCCGCAATTGAGAAGTGCGAGAGAAGACACTATTGTCATAGAACTTACGGTTATCAATTTCAACTGTAGAATGATGAGACCTTGCCGCCAATCCAGTACGGCGTTTAAATTCATAAAGTAACTTAAAGATTTTGAATTTAGCGTTCGGGAAAGCATCCACGTAGGAGTTTGTTTCAGAGAGTAGCAGTTCTTCGGAAAATGTGTCTGAGTGGAACTTCCGTTTTACGAATGGAATACGGAAGGAAACGTGGGTGATTCGAATCTGTGGACATAGGGTGGCTTGTCATAGATGTAAAGGTCTGTACTAGTGGGACTAAAGAGTAGAACTCAGCAGAACATTTATCATGGAGATAGAGATAAAATAGCAACATGCTTGCAACGTTGCGTCTGTGGGAAAGAGAGAGAGAGACAGAGAGAGTGAGAGAGAGACAGAGAGAGAGTGAGAGAGAGACAGAGAGAGAGAGAGAGGGGGGAAGAGAGACAGAGACAGAAAGACAGACAGACAGATATTCTCCCACACTTGTTGCTAAGCAAGGCTTGAGAACTCAGTTTATTTTGCTAGGAGGAGACGATACTTTTTTTACAAGGTTTTTCTTTTTGCGCGAAAGTGAACGCAAGGAGCAAGGCCGGGATACGAACCCTTTTTGACGCTTTATCTTTCTTTTCGAGTCACTCGGCGTTACACAATCTGAATATTCATAAGCCATTTTTGAAAAGGTTGAATTCTTTCCGGACACATCTCATAATTTGCGTAAGCACACACAATACCTTCTGCACTCACTGGCGCGCAGGTTTATAAGTGAAACATTAGCAATATCTGCATGAATGTGTTTCCATATTTAAAATTTAAATGCCAATCACCATGAGAACAGTTTTAATGGCGATTTCGAGAATAATTGATTTGCGCATGCGTGCAAATCGGAAATCATGTCCGCCATGAAATTTAATGAGAATGGCGAACTACAGGATAGCTTGCCTTTGGATGACAATTTGGATTGCCGGTTAAAAATGATGAAATAAAATAAAAATTATTAATTAATTAGGAAATTATAGCTTGGCATAAGGCACAATATTTGCGCATGCGTAAGGATTTAACTATCCTAACGAATTATACTGCAACTCGTTTGCTATTGCACTACGACAGGCGCCCACTTACAGGTATTTACTCAACATCTGTTGTTTTAATAGTTCCATCCCAAGCAAGTCGGGAATGCCACTAGTACGCAGGGGGTTACCGAGAGTGAAAGTGAGAGAAAAGTCTGTATATAGCGGATTGAGGAAAGGATAAAAAATGGACGGAGGTTCAAGAAGATAGAAGATGGCGATTGATGTTGCATTTCAAGAATGTAGTTTTCAGGGAAGCAAGAAAACGGAAGGAAGTTCTATTGTCGAGAAATTCGAGAAAATAAACTGTTGGAATAGAAGTGGCGGTAACATTTAACTATTTAAACAGTAAAAGGGTGGGACCTAGCGGCCAATATAGTAGCACGCTTAAATTCATCTAGTCGGGGCACCAGAGGAAAAAAGCTCGTTAGAGCATTTTCCATGAAAATGTTTGTCGAAAAGACGAAGGGAAGCCGCATCACGTCTGTGAGAAAGTGACCGAAGTCAAGATAACAAGGCAGGATCGATTACATTGAGGATCCTTCTTTGATTTGATCAAGAACTTCGAGATGAATAGCAGGAGAACCAGACCAGATATGCCAACTCTATTCAAAGCACAGGCGAATGAGAGATTTGTAAATGTACAAGATGGACTCTGACGAGAAAAAACTTCTGGCACAACATAGTGAACCAACTTTCCTTGCAGTAGATGCAGCAATTGATTCGATGTAGTTGTTCAGTTGAAAACATGTTGCCAAGAAAACGCAGTTAGATGCTTTCCAGGAGTCTAGCATTAGCCATGCTGATGGCGGGCAGGGAAGTTTTTCTGTTGTGCTTAAAAGAGAGCAGTTTAATTTTGGAGGCATTAAAATTTACAAGCCGTTTACTGTCCCAGTCAACAACTAATTGGAAATCCTTTTACAAGAGCAGCAGCCAGACGGATTTGCTATTAAGACAAGAGTAAATGGTAGTGTCATTTGCAAAAATGCCTACTTGAGAACTGAATTACATCAGGAAGATCATTGATGAAGAGCAGAAACAGCGTACGACCCAGGGTAGAGCCTTGGGGAACACCCGCGTTCGTGTGAAAGGATCTGGAAGGGAGCTCGTTCAGAACGATCTTCACGATTTGATAGGGATGCTTGGATTAAATCAAGCAATTGTCCTGTAATACCGTAGCCTGAAGCTTACGTAGAAAACCAGCATGCCAAACCCTGTCAAATGCCACTGAGATATTTAGAGCCACAGCTCGAGCTTGGCCGTTATTATCAGGAGCGTGATATACATAGTGATCGCCGTAAGCACGGCAGCGGTAGACCAGGCGAAACGGAAAGCATAGAGTAAGTTGTGAGAGATAAGGTCCTTAATTACTTCAGCACTGATTAAAGCCCCGAATACTATGCCCAAAGGTGGTAGGAGACTAACAGGGTGATAGTTAGAAGGGGTCAGAGTTTAAAAACAAGAACTACAGAGGAGGATTCTAACAAGCTGGAAAGCAGCAAGGCAATAGTTGTAGAGTTTGGAGAGAACTGGAACCAGCTCAGGAGCACCTTTTTTTAGGACGACGACTGGGATCCCGTCACCTCCAGTTGCCTTATGGGAGTTTAATTTAGAAATGTTGTCCGAGACTAGTGACGGGTTATGCGAATATCACTCGGCAGAACCTAAGTTCTAGGAGGAAACAAGTATGGGTACTCCAAATGAGTCGAGTGTTAAGTTGGAAGAGAATTTCCAAGCAAAGCATTCAACCTTATCTGCTCTAGATGTCAGTACTTCGAATTGATTGAACAGAGGAGGGGTGAGGATTTGCAGCACACTCTTGCAGAGCCGCCAATAATCTCTAAAACCGAACTTGCGAGACGCTATCCGTTGTTTCATTCTGTCGGCAAACAGTAACTTCGCTTCACTGAGGACACACTTGCACTCGTTACGAGCAGAGACGAAGAGGCGTCTGCTGCAATCCGAAGTGTCGCTCTGGTACAGCCGGAAGAAGTAATTCCTGTGGGCTATAGCGGCCGAGCATGCTTTGTGAGAATCAAGGAGATGAGTGCGGTTTAACTTGGTATTTCCTTGTTGCAATGAGAGTATCGATGCCGGCCTTCACCCAGGAGGAGACTTCAGATGCGCATTTTTGAACAGGATGATTAAAAACTTCATTCCAGGGGACGCCACGAAGGAAATCGCGGAACGAGTCCCAATCTGCTCGTTGATAACAGAAAGTTATTTGGCTGGTAGGAGGTTCTTGGTTGGTATGGGAGCGGGAAGAGATGTTTACAGACACTACAGCAGGATCAGTGTTGCCAAGAGGGCACATCTGCGTAGTACGATAAGAGACAGGGATAGAGGTAAAAAAAAGATCGAAAAAAGAAGCGTGTCCGTCAAGGTTACTGGGGAAATGCGTGGGGAAGTAAACCACTTGCGTGACAGAGTGAAGATTGAGAATTTAAAGGTTTGGACGTCAGCGATGTCAGTGACAGAATGTTTCAGCCACCCGATATGGTGGGCATTAAAGTCACCGAACACAAATATATTTTCAAACGGGTGTAGGGAGATTGATTTGTCGATATTATCGGAAATACTATCAAGCACGCAGCAGTCTTGAGAGGAAGGAGAACGGTAGAGAAAGAAGAGATAGCTGACTGAGTTAAGTAGAGAGAGACGGAGACACATGTAAGAATGGTTTGGAGATTCAAGAGAGAGTTCCCTAGCCAGCTGGAGATGTTCGTAGTCATTAACTCTCCGTCCATGCATATCCTTCCTAAGGAGAAGAAGATGGCCAGGAATCGGGAAATCAGAGGAGGGGATTGAAAGGTTAAGTTAATTTCGCAGAGAGCTATGATGTCTGGAGACTTTTCGAAGAGGAACGATTCCACACTGTAGATGTTGGTATGAATATCACGAATATTGGAGAATGAAAGGTTGAAGGAGTTTAGGTGTTTTTCTGCTGAGCTGGTTTAGGATAATATCTTTGGTTGTTTATAGTCATGGTATGTTATATTGGCAGCGGAAAGGCCTAGAGTACTAGTAGCAGTCCGTGGTCTAATGTAACAAGTGCATGAAGGGAACTGGCGTAGACTGCAACATAGTGTGGCCTCGGGCTTTCCCACTGGAAGTCCTTGCAGGGGCACTCTTCAATGCGTGACATGACACTACAAGCAACCCGATATTATGCAACTGTTGATCGGAGCAACCTCTCAAGACGCTACGCAAGAGTTCGGGCTCCTAACTACCAGTCAGGAACAGCAACCAGAAAACTGCCAACCCTGTGCCCTCGGAATGAAGAGACGTTGCCGCCATGAATGCATATCACAAAAAATCATGAAAATGCCACTATTAAAGCCAGAGAAAAGGAAGGAACCGGGAAACCCGTTCCTAAACAGGAAACAAGGGATGAGCCTCTACTCCTGTTCCAAAAAAAAGGGGGAGTCGTATGGACCGGCCGATAGGAAAAAATTATTCTCATTAAAAAAACAAAAAAAAAAAAAACAAGGCAAAACAATAACAGAAAAACTATTTTGGCTTCCAGATAAGATATTTGAAAGTAACTTTTAGGTAACTTATTTGGAGAATGGAGCTGCGGCCTAGAGATGCCCCAGTAGAAACATGTATATATATCTGTACGCCGGGGATTTAAAAAGAATAATTAAGTTTTAACTTAGTATAAATCCGAATATCAACTCTTTCAAACTGTGTTATGCTAATCCCCATTCAGTCACCACCGAAACGAAAAAAAAAATCCATTAAATGTTACGACACCAATCAATTAACTTTAGGTTATCAGTACGACCGTGTGCGTGCGTGTATGTGTGTGTGTGTATATATATATATATCATTCACAGACAGTACTATTTCGATGTATCATAGCTCCTCAGTGTGACTAGATGTCTGAAAGCCAGGATCGAAACCCGACCGATTAGGTGTCAGTCGGAGTTTCTACCTCTAAGCCATCAGCTCTCGGTAGAGAGAATCTGCTAATTTGAGCATATTGTTTTTACGAATATATATATAAAATTTTGTGACGTTCGGTGGCCGTTAATAATTAAGTATAACCCAAGACTTCAATGTTAGGATAAAACAGTATTTAATTACAACCGCAAATAAATACTTAACAAGAACAAAGAAGTAAAAGTCAGCAAAAGATAATGAATCATTTCAATGAATACCTTGTTAGTAGCGCGGCTCGGCTCAACGTCCGGTAAATCTTAGATCAAAACCCAAATCATCGATGCACAATAATTCACACTAATTCGACTGGATAGTTCCACTCATTAATTAC